GCATGGCAACTTCTATTTTTCATTTTCAACGCTTAACTGAACACATTACATTTAGAAGTTGATTGGTTACAGTGGACAACTGCTCCAGATTCTGTCTACCCCAGTTTTCATAAATTCCCCTCTATATGTTTTAAATTGTTGTTCATTAAGTGCTCATGTATTGCAGGAGACTTGCTGGATGTACTATCTTCATCACTGGTGCCAGCCGTGGTATTGGAAAAGCAATTGCTCTGAAAGCTGCAAGAGATGGTGCCAATGTGGTGATAGCAGCAAAGACTGCAGAACCTCACCCTAAACTTCCAGGGACAATATATACTGCAGCTGAAGAAAGTAAGTATAGTCCATATGGTTCTGTTTTTTTGTTTTTTTTTCTAGAAAAAATTGTATTTAATCTTAAGAAATATATATACTTGTAAAAGCTCTATAATGGATATAAATGTACAGTCCTAGAAAAGACAAGTCTGTCTGCTTTCTTCGACAAAAACAAATCAATAAATCTGATCACAGATATGGTAAGCAGGCATTTCCTTCTATAGGCATTTTACATTATTTGAGGACAGATGTGCTGCAATGTCAACCAGGGTGCCTGGTATATAATATAGAGTTTTGTTTACCTGTGGAGCTTCTCTGAGAAGATCTGCCATTTGAATTTCCTTCTTTCACCACTTTTGCTATCAGTTATGTGTCAAGCCTGTGGACTTCACTCTAGCCTGACGAAACAGCTATTGTATGGGCTCTGAAACATCACCTTTTGTCAGCATGACAAATTAGAAGGCTCTAAATGAGCATATGATGTTACTTTCACTTTTTGGTGGCCTGTGGACTTCACAGGGTAGCCTTCTGCAATGTTTGATGAAGAAACAGTTGAGAGGATACCCCTAACTGTACTAGATCTTTACACTGGGATTTCATATATAGCTAGATCTTCATATACCAGAAAACCTAATCACAAAAGCAAATAAATCACTTTAGGTATAATACTCATTTCAGTATGTTTTTATCTGTTTTAGATTGCCTAGTAGAGAGGAGAGCAAGCAATGGGAACCTCTCAATTTGCTTTTGCTGTTGCTTAGCCAATATATTGAATGTATGCATGAAGTTTAAACATTAAATGCTGTATTAATATCCAGCCTGCACTGTCTGCATTATTATACAGTGTTGGTTACATAAAATACCTGCCTGATGTATGCAATTTCTATTTGACCTTAGTTGAAGCTGTTGGTGGAAAGGCCTTGCCTTGCATTGTTGATGTGAGAGATGAAAAACAGATCAGTGAAGCTGTGGAAAAAGCAGTGAGCACATTTGGAGGTGAGACTTGTCCTATAACTTATTTCAAATACACTCTAAAGTGGCATGTCATTGGCAGCAGTTGTCCATGTTTTTTGTACTGTAGCTGGGTAAATGTAGAATGCTTGTGTAGGTTGGGAGTAAAAGTAGGGTAGGATAGGCAGGTTCGGTATAGTAATAGCACAGAAACCAATATCAAAATTTCGGAAAATATGAGAAAGTTTGTCTTTCTGCTCTACCTGCAATTGTTTATTGGGATCACATTTTTGGAATATAATTTAAAAATACTTGTAGCAGTCCAATGAGTCCTTCACCCTACACTATCTGCCTTGTGCATGGCTAACGGTGATACTGTATTGTAGCTCATTGAGGAAGTAGCCAGCATGCCAAAAATGAAACCTCCAACAGCAGCAGAGCCAGCTGTACCCGCGCCCCTGCCCTGTCCGTTCTTCCATTCAGCACTGGAGGAGGGGAATCCCTGCGGGGAGCGGTGCCTGACAGTCACGGCTCTCTGTAGAGAGATGATCGAGAAGTGAGCAAGCGACGGTATGTGTTTTGCTCACTTCCTGATCTATTGAGCCGACGTGTGACAGTTTCATTGTCTCGCGTCAGGTCGAACTATGAGGATGAGTGATTTTCACTCACCTCATAGTTCTCTTTTAAATACCCCATGCAGATGTTGCCGAACACCTGCTCACCATTGAGCATAAGTATAATAAATAAACCCTCACTGACCTGTAAGATACTCCAGAACAAAAAATGCCCAAGTCACTGGACATGCAATCCATATGCTGCAATCGTTATTCACCTTCTCATTTTAAATTCAAAAGTAAATTCATACCCCTGGGCGATTTTGGGACCATCAAGACTTACATCCAAAAGACAATGATCTGATAAAAAAGAAACACCTATTTTTATATTGGTAAGGAAGGAGAGGGAGAAGCCATCTCCTTCCTTGAAAGGGACAAGAAGATCATCCTTAAACTCGTGGGTAAAAGTGTTGTTCTAGTCATCATTGAGTATTCTGCATATCACTGGGGGATTTGGGATTTTTTAGAAGACCTAATACACTTATGTTAGAGTTCTTTCTGATCCTATAGGTATGGTCAGAGATAAAATGCACACATTAATACAGTCGGGTGTGGCTAACCTTTGGACTACAATAGAGGGCACAGAGTATTAAGTTCTTGGACAACATATTATGCCTGTGCTTTATGGCTCTTAAATATTGCCCCATCATTTCTGGTCCTGAGAGTATCACACAACCGTTAACGTTGATTCATTGACCGTTTTTTTGCAGCCATTGGTTATTACGCTTCCCTCATTCATTAAGGATACTGGTGATTTTCTTGAACACATTGTATGGGTGGATTTTAGAGGGCTGGCTATTGGCCAGAAGGAATATTTCCTCCTTTAATACCATTACATCCAACAGAGCTAGTTTGGATGCTGTGGAATTCTTTTTATCTGCTAATTCTTCTAACCATACTTATGAGTTAATTTTTCAGGGCCTAAATCTTATATTGGAAAGCTGTTTTCTACAAATTTGGTGTTTAGTCAGACGAGTAAACTGCCATAGGCAGTTCGGCTGCCCTTTCCTTGGTGAATCTTTTAGATAGACTTATCCCTCCTCATCATACCATGTAGCTGAAATATATTGAATATATATTTGTAGTTTGGAAAGGCAACACCCAGAAATTTGGAGATTGTTTCCTTCAATTCAATCCTTGAATTCAGTTTTTCTGTCCCAATTTAATCCTGAATTATTGGATTCTCACATATTTCTGGATGTTGCAGTGTCTGAGAGAATGATGAACTTGCAACCAATTTATTTTCCAAAGCTACAGACAGGAATACATTGTTGCACTATTCCAATGCATATCCAATACATCAACTTGCCAATATTTCATTTTATGTAGGTACTTCACATTTGTTCAAATGTTGAAAATCGGGGACCCATGGAGGTCTTGGATAAGGTCTCAAGGTTTTAAGAGAATGCATGTTAAAAATGCACAAATTATAAGATACAATTTGTACAAACGCATAATATTCTCTCTCAGAGTTTTAATAAAAATCTTTGACAGACACTATTTCATACTGCTACTTATGCTGAATCCTGAGAAGATATTTTGCAACATCTGCATGGGGCAATTGAGGACATACATGTACTGCAGGTTTGTTTGTGGGAGTGTACAGATCTCTTCCAGAACTAATCAGCTGCAAGGAAGTCACTACTGGTAACTAGGGGTGTGGGTGAGCTTTGGCCAAGCTAGTGCTAAAACTGCCAGTGACATGCCCCCCTCCCCACACACAGCCCAATCAGCTGTCGAAGGGGGCCTTCCCCATCCTGTAACAAATTGGGGGCTGGCTGCAGCTGATTGGGCCTGCAGGGAGTTTTGTGTGATCAGTAATATATTGTTTTTTAAAAAGGTTGATTTTTTTTTTTTTTTTTTTAATTATTTTTGTTCCATTTTTCTCTAAGAACAGCGCACAATTTGTTGCAGATGATATTTTTTTTATTTATGCCAAAATGCTTACATTTGCTTTTATTTATGTAAACAGGTATAGACATCTTGGTAAACAATGCCAGTGCAATCAGTTTGACTAATACTGTAGACACTTCAATGAAGAAAGTTGACCTTATGATGGGCATTAACACTAGAGGAACGTATCTCACGTACGTAATGTTCAGTTACCATTTTGCATTTAAATTATTTGCTGAAGCTTTGTAAACAAGACATGATAAATAAAGCCCGTAGCAGCAGCAGTACATTGTTAGTGCACTGAAATGTATAGTTTGCTCATACTTTGTATGCTAATGCACATTTCTGGACAGGGTAATATAGATTTTTAAACCTGGAAGAGAAAGTTTGTGTGTTGTCCCTGGCAACCAAACAGATGCTTACTTTCTACCTGAACTCCAGGCAAACAGCCAAATACACCATTGTAAGCTGCTTTACTTACCAAAGGATTTGTATGTCTGTCCATCTAGCCCAAAGATTTATAGAGCTTTGCCCTGCTGATTACTTTTTGTCTATTGCAGTTAAAGTGTATCCAAACCCAAGAACAAAACATAATACAGTATATGGCAATTTACTAGTCCTTAGATGTGGTGGTTGCTTTAGTTTTTTTATTTTTCTGGCTTTTTTAAATTTTCTTTTTACCTGGTGATACTTCCTATCTTAGGGTGACAACTCTTATTCACTGCACTGTATCTATAGAGGAGCAGCTTTGTCACCCTAGCACAGGAAGTGTATTAGGTTTCCATAACACTTCCCCTTCTCTACATCTCCATAACATAGGCAGAGGTGTTTTGTAGTTTTAAGGTGAACAAGGCATGGCTGATTTGGACTGGGGTACTTTGGGCCCACCAGACTGAGAAGAAGCGCCCCACTCTGTGGCAAAGTATTGGTATAGATTACTGTGAGGGTGCATGGTTAAAAAGGCATTGTTTAACAGCTGCAGCTTATTCTATGTCTATCTAAAATGTTTCATTCAGTTTCTCAGAAGCAGGATAGTTGGCGCTACCAGCAGTCCAATGTTGCTAAACACATGTCACCGATACAGCTCACATATTATAAAAGACTGTTGAAGGGTGCTTGTATGAATCAATAAATACTTTTAGAAACTTCTTGCATGAAGCAAAAAAAACCTGTCAAACTGCTCACTTGTAACTGGCATATAAACTGTTCTGTGGCATGCACGACCTACAGCGGTTCAGGAGTAGGATCATATATACATCATAACTTCTAACTTTAAAAGAGGAACACAAGCAGCAGAAGAAATATGCAGCATACAAAGCATGCCGCTGCGAAAAGTGAGTGTGGCTACAAAGTGTTGCAAATTGGGTATGATTTTAAAAGTGACCTGTTAGTCTGAACCTACTCACAATACACACTGCATAGGTTTGCTGCTGCCCTTGTACCCTCAATATACCCTTTAATTACATTGCCACAAGTTTTACAAATGCATATAAGCCTCAGGACCGAATATCTTTTTTTTTTTAAACTTCCATTACTTTGTCTGACCCTACCTTAAATTAGAACTTCATTAACCACTTAAAGGCCATGGTGTTTCACCCCCTTCCTGGCCAGGCCATTTTTCAGTATTCAGCGCTGCGATACTTTGACTGATGTTTATTCCGTCATGCAACGCTGCACTGAAATGAATTTCATACCATTTTTTGGGGACAGATAGAGCTTTCTTTTAGTGGTATTTAATCACCACTGGGGTTTTAATTTTTTACTATATAACAAAAAAAGTACCCTAAATTTTGAAAAAAAAACATGTTTCCCTATAAAATGTTATGAAACATTTATTTTCACCCCAATTTTTTGGTATAATATAAAAGACGGGGTCACGTCAGGTAAATAGACACTAAACATGTCAACCTTTAAAATTGCACGCGCCCGCGAAATCGCAGAAAACTTCCCTCAACCAAAATTGGCCATAGGCGACGCTTTAAACGTATTTACCACTCATCAGTTTAGTGTCATCAGTGATTGATGGCCCTAGAATTATTGTTCTCACTGCGACGTTCGCGGCGATATGTAAC